AAGAAACAATTGCTTTGTGCTACATTTCAGAACGAACGCAATTTACTGTGTCAGAGCTAGTAAAACATTTGTAAGTAAAGTGAAGATTCCACTTGCAAATAGCATGAATGTTCATGTTGAGTTTAAGCAACATATTTTAGGAGATTTGAATTGCTCAGTCGCTAATGAATTCAACGCATTTCAGTTCCAATGGCATTTTGGTATTCTCTATGCACAAGATTGGTTGCTTAGTTTTGAATAGAGGTCGGCAGTTGATATCGAATTTAAACTGTAATTTAGATGAAAACGTTCCAAAATGCTGTTTTTTCTGCGCAAATCATAATCGATTTTGCTTCAAATTGATTAAATTGATGTGGATTTGTTTTTCTCTTGATAAATTCAAGGAAAGTTTGAGGAGTTTTTTCCGGGGAATTTTACAGTAATTCTACACACACACATTTTCGATAAGTTGAAATAAGAAAATTTGTTTTACTTTTTGCATTTATGGCAAAAAAATATCGCAACTGAAAGCAATAAGTATTCCTGACCAAATGGAAATTATGCATCAACAACGGATTTTTGTAGGAAAAAATTTATTTTCTCCATTTCCCTGTGTTTCATTCAATCGAATTTTATTATACTTTTATACTTTTAATGATTTTATAGTTCTTCCCATCAGCTCAACTAATTCTAGTGCCCATTAAACCGGAAATAGCGTCATTCACATATTCCAACAGTGGCCACAATTTTTATACGTTCGTTCGCTTTTTTTTTATCATCCATTCACAACTGAATATTTTTTCGATTTTACATTAACTCTACGCGTAGCTGCGGCTATTATGTAAATGGATGTGTTTTTTTGTTTGGTCGGTTCGTCCAATCGATTTTTTGGTTTTTGTGCTGCATAAGATAATAATAATGGCTTATTGTGTTGAACCGAAAACGTTTTATTTTATTGTCACATTTCGGTTGAATAATAATTTTTTTTCTTCTCTTTTTCGTTCACATAATTTGAAATTCGAAGGAAACCAAATAATTGCCTTTGTAAACATGAATTTCAATTAAAATTTTTGCTCATTTCAAACTTTTTTTTTTACTATATATGGTGAAATTGCTTCAGAATTCTGATTTTAAAATAACTACCGTTTGCTAGAATAATTAACAGTTAAATATGTTAACCAATCGCTCTCGTGCAGTTCAAAGGTGATCTTTTAACAAGGCCTTAGTTCAATTTTTTTGTTCATAATTTGTGGAACCAACAAACATTTCCGTCTCGTTATCAAAAAGTCAATCGAACATAGAAGTTTACATTTTGAGCGAAACAGATAGTTTTCAAATGATTTGGTTAACAATAAATGCGGCATCAAACTCTTTTGTTATTCGAAGAACTTATTCTGAACCGACTTCACACAGATTTTTTTTTTTGTTGAAAAGATATTGTTTTCGGATTTTCTTTCCACATAAAACACATTGTTCCTTCGAATCAAATTGTTGTTTGGATTGTCCGTTGCATAGTAACGTGTGACAGCGACCAATGACTTTTGACTTTAATTCACCGGTGAACGCGGTTACCTTGAAAGCAAAGTGTCAAACAACGAAAGAGCTGCATATCATTGGATTAGATATTCAGGTAGGCGCGTCGGAGGGAGTGTACAGTAGAGAAACACGGTAATTAGTTTCGATGGCGTGTTTATTCTTTGAACTGCGTTCATTTTCAAAATACCTACATATAGTTCTGTGCACAAGTCGTTAATTTTCCATTTAACGGATACAATTCGGAAATGTTATTCGAAGCAAAAAAAAATCTGTTCATCGGATCAACAAGCCAATTTCAAAAATTCATTTTGTTCCATAGACTCATGTGTGTCTTGTATTTCATCCGCCACACAATTCGGTTGCCACCGAAAACCGAACAAAACGATCATTTGCGAAATAAGTGGCCAATGTATATTCATACCGTAATTCTGTTTGTTGAATATGAACAGGCAATATCGTCATGTCATTGCCAAACTGATTTACATGCCGCAAATTCGAACGTCTACATTATTTCGCGATAAATGCGGGAATTCCACGTATGCACTCCAATTGTACCCATATTTAAGTAAATTTTTAGTAAATTTCAACATTTGACATTTTGTGTGCATATCGCAAAAGATGTGTGTATAAAGTTCATGTGTGTGTGTGCCGTGCCATGCACTATATTTCAATGCAATGGCTCAATTGTTAATCATCCAATTTGTATGTAGCAAAGCGGCGCTTAGCTTTAGGCGAAACATTTCACAATTCCATTTAATGCACCTGATTCCACTCACTCTCTGTCTTTCTCTCTCTCTCTCTCTCTCTCTCTCTCTCTCTCTCTCTCTCTCTCTCTCTCT